AGAATCAACGAAAATTGCAAATTATCAACCTCATCATGCAGTGCTGAAAGAGACAAGTACGACCACGAAATTGAGAGTAGTGTTCGATGGTTCTTGTAAAACATCATCAGGTCTGTCATTGAACGATTGTATGAAGACCGGTCCTATTGTACAGCAGGAGTTGTTCAACATCATTATTCGTTTAAGGCAACATACTTTTGTTTTGACCAGTTTAAAATATATCGTCAGATCTGAATACAACCTGAATAACGAGGACTGCAGTGTATTCTGTGGAGAGAGAATCCAGATTTGCCAATAAACGTATATCAGTTAAAAACCGTTACTCTTGGAGTTACTGCATCACCATAGTTGGCGACAAGATGTCTTGTACAGCTGGCTGATGATCACAATGATATTTATCCTAAAACATCGCAAATCATAACAGATCACTTCTATGTATACGACATGCTGACTGGTGGGGAAGCCGAAGAGGAAATATTTAAAGTTAAAGACGAAATTATTGGTATATTCTCATCAGCCAATGCCAAGCTTCAAAAAATCCATTTAAATGCCAAAGCGGTGGATCACGCTCAGGATGAACACGAAATAACAGAGGTTAAAACACTAGGTTTGCTATAGCAACCAAGAGAGGATCTTTTAAAATACTGTTCATCCTATGAGGTGAAGTAAAAGGTCATCACTAAACGAGTAATGATATATGCAATTACTCAAATATTTGATCCGCTGGGGTTGATTAAACCATTCATCTTGCAATCCAAGATACTTCTATAGCATCTTTGGAAATTAAAACTGGGCTTGGATGATCCAATCCCGGATGAAGTTAGTGAAAAATGGATTTCTCACTGCCATCAATTGAAGAGTATTAACTATTTGAAGATTCCACGTCATGCATTATCAGTCTCACCGCTGAGCACTCAACGCATGGTTTCTCCGATGCTTCGGAAAATGCTTTCGGAGCGTACATTTATATGCGCACTATAGGACCAAATCGAGCGGTAATCACTCGTCTTCTTTGTGCACGGTCTAGAATCGCTCCCATGAAATCTCTGAGCCTTCCGAAACTGAAATTATGTAGAGTAAAGCTGTTGGCGAAGCTGTATTCTAAGACGCGAGAGGCACTAACTATACACAATGATGAAATCTTTTTTTGGCGTGATTCGATGATCACGTTGGCATGGATCTTTTAAGATGGTACACATTTGTGCCTAACCGAGTGGCGGAGATTCAGCGGGTGGCTTCTCCTGAAAAATGGAATCATGCCAGGACTGAGGAGAAACCAGCCGATTTAATTTCACGTGGTGCAAAACTGTATGAGCTGATGAATTCTAACATCTGGTGGAATGGACCGAGTTGGCTGCAAAGTGATATGCATGACTGACTACATTCGGAAATTAAGGACGCCGAAATACCAGAAGAGAAAAAACCACCCACACAACACCGATAATTCCCTGAAGCTTCACTGAATGTTTTTGGGTCACCTTGGGAAAGTTCCATCTCCGCGTTCAGAAAAGATGGTTTAAATCTTAAAACGTCCGCATGCGTGAGCAAATGTTTAATGCGAAATTTGACTGAATATGTAAATTACATTTTCGTTAAAGGTTCAACATGAAAGTACACTTAAAATATGAACCGCTTTTACACTGGACAAAAATATTTTTTTAAAATAAAAATTACTGTTTAAATAATAGTCTTTACATATACAAAAGGATAAAATAAAATAAATAAAAATAATAAAATAAAAATATATATTCTAATTATAAATGTTTTTATATCTAATATATCCGTGAGAATAAATGGATGATAATAAATAAATGTAAACTTACTTTATTTTTTACTTATAATTATATTATTTTATCCTTTTTATATGTGAAGACTATTATTTAAACAGTAATTAAATTTCTTTAAAAAAAATAATTTTATCCAGTGAAAAGCGGTTCATATTTTAAGTCTAATTTCTTTTTGAACCTTCAACGAAAATGTAATTTACATATTCAGTCAAGTTTCACCTTAAACATTTGCTCACGCATGCGGACATTTTAAGATTTAAACCATATTTTCTGAACACGGAGATGGAACTTTGCCAAGGTACCCTAAAAAAATTCAGTGAAGCTTCAGGGAATTATCAGTGCTGTGTGGGTAGTGTTGACTTTCTCTGTTCAAGAAAGGGATTTTTCACTGGTGAAGAGGTACTCATTTTGGAATAGAATTCGTAGAGTGTCAGTTTACTGTCTGCGTTTTAAGGAAAATGCATGAAAAACTTAAAGGTGTTTCATTGATGACGGAAGGTATATCAACGGAAGAATTAATGAGGGCGGAAGTCATTTTGTTAAAAATGCATCAAGCGGAAAATTTTCATGTGGAGATGAATAAGCTTCGTAAGGGTAAATCAATCAAGAGTACAAGCAGAATTCTAATGTTGAATCCAATTCTCGATGAAGATGGGTTGATGCGAGTGGGGGGAAGAAAATCACTAGCATATTTATCCTATTCGCAACGTTTTCCTATTATATTGTCCTCTAATCATCAAATTACCAAATTGATCATACGCGATCTCCATTCTAAAAATATACACGCTGGGACATCATTGTTGATTACTACTTTACGCGAAAGATTTTGGATATTGTCAGCTCTTCGAATAGTTCGTAAAATATTGCGAAGATGCGTGTTATGTTTTAGAGTTAAACAGAAAAATTTAAGTCAATTGATGGGAAGCTTGCCTGCAGTGCGCGTGACTGCACCTCGGGCTTTTGCGCACACTGGTCTCGATGTGCTGGTCTGTTTAATATTAAAATCTCAAGAAATAAGGTTCAAGAGACATATCATTGCGTCTTTGTGTGCGTGGCAGTAAAGGCAGTGCATTTAGAATTGGTCTCTGACTTGTCAATAGACTCATTTCTGAATGCACTTAAACGATTTATTGTAAAGCGATCCTTGCCAAAGATTTGTATTTTTCCTATTGAAAGTGAATGATGGTTTTTGCTTCCTCGTGGAGGAAGCTTTGTAGTCCTTTCGTTTATAAAACTTTTCAAAGTGGCGGAAACAAATTTTTTTCTTTATAGAAACATGTTATATGAGATCCTGATCAATTGTCCGGATGTATGTGTGTGTGTGGATCCCTTTTTTGTTTAGAAGATAACTTTAACAGGTTTTAATGGATTTAGACAAAATTTGGTAGGCTCATTTATCATATAATTATCTCAAATCTGACCAAAAGATTTTAAAAAATTCCCAAAAAAAAATTTTATCGTCTTTTTTCAAAAAAATTTTTTTTAATCAAAAAAATTTTTAAATAGAAAAATTTAAGGTTATATATAATAAAATCGTATTCCTTACGTCAAGACGAATCGATCGATATATATAAAGTATACATTTGAGGTAAATTTAAAGAATTAATGAAAGTTAAAAAATCAAAAATTCACATTTTGGCAATAAAATTTTGCTTTCTCCACGAGGAAGCAAATTTTTTTGCTGATCATAAAGAGGAAGCAAAATGTTCATGTAATGAACATCTGAATTTACAACTTGTTTTAAATAGTTTTTTTTATTTTGACAAATTATAAAGTTTGAAATGCTGTATTATACGCCGATGTGAGCATTTCAAAGGGGGCGGAATGTTTGGGATTGAAGTAAAATTTAGGAATGAGTGGGGATCAAATTGATGAGTGGGACTTGTGACGTAGTTGCGCGAACGAAAAGTGAAAAAAAAACAACAACTAATCATCACAACACCATCATCAGGTCACATTATTAAACAAAATTAAAATAAATTATTCACTCACAAACTACATAGAACTTCTTTTAAAAAAGTTAAAACAATATTAAAAATTCTTATTTTTATATAAATAAATAGTTACCTAGTTAAATTAAATTTAATTAGTTACATATAATTATCTCAAATCTGACCAAAAGATTTTAAAAAATTCCCAAAAAAAAAAATTTTATCGTCTTTTTTCCAAACATTTTTTTTTAATCGAAAAAATTTTTAAATAGAAAAATTTAAGGTTATATATAATAAAATCGTATTCCTTACGTCAAGACGAATCGATCGATATATATAACATTTGAGGTAAATTTAAAGAATTAATGAAAGTTAAAAAATCAAAAATTCACATTTTAACTATAAAATTTTGTGATTTTTTAAATTAAAGTTTATATATGAAATAATTGTATTCCTAACGTCAAGGCGAATCGATCGATATATATAAAGTATACATTTGAGGTAAATTTAAAGAATTAATGAAAGTTAAAACATCAAAAATTCACATTTTGGCAATAAAATTTTGCTTTCTCCACGAGGAAGCAAATTTTTTTGCTGATCGTAAAGAGGAAGCAAAATGTTCATGTAATGAACATCTGAATTTACAACTTGTTTAATATTGTTTTAACTTTTTTAAAAGAAGTTCTATGTAGTTTGTGAGTGATTAATTTATTTTAATTCTGTTTAATAAAGTGGCCTGATGATGGTGTCAAACCAAGATACCGAAACATTGCCAAACAAGTGATTTGCTGATTTATTTCTCACTTCCAATAATCGAAAAAAACTCAATTTCTAACGACTAAAATTGTCAAAAAAATAAAAAGAGAAAACCTAACTATAATTCGTGGTACCGCATCAATTAAAAAAAATATCCAAAAGAAACAAAAAAAATTACTATGTTGTCATTCACTAAAGCGCTTCAATGCACTAAAAAGGTCATTTTTATCATTAATAACGATTAACTCAAGACGTCATCAAATAAACTTAATGTTCACTTTTTGTAAAGAAAAAATATTATCAAAAAAAAAATAAATAAAATGATTTTATCACTCGGTCGATATTAAATAAAAAACATGAAGATAACGATCACTCCGAGTCAAGGCGAACAAAAGAAAACAAAACTATTTCTTTTTACGTTTCAGCAGCACTGCTGCCCTCTTCAGAAACTACAAGATTTTTATTAATAAATAATTAAAATTTTACATATATAATTTAAAAAAAAGTACAGTAAAAAGGTTTTTACCAATAAAAAAGAGAATTTTCTTCAAGTAATTCATTTGAAGAGAGGAATAGACGTCTGTACGATAGACAGTCTATCTAAACACTGAGTAAAAGCACGTGGCTTGACAATTATATAATGAGGGGGTCAACGGACCGTCAGTAAACAAAAATACAAATATATATATATACAAGTAAGAGAAATGTCAGTGCACACTGAAACAGGTGGCTAAACAGACTTCTTATCGTTGAGGAAATAAATGTAACTATTATTGAGATTTTGGGTGTCTTCCATTTTGTTAATTGGTTTCTTTTGCAAATTAATATGAATCATCTCGGATATCCGAGATCCATTTTGTTAATTGGTTTCTTTTGCAAATTAATATGAATCATCTCGGATATCCGAGATCCATTTTGTTAATTGGTTTCTTTTGCAAATTAATATGAATCATCTCGGATATCCGAGATGATTCATATTAATTTGCAAAAGATATATGAATATGAATATAATATGAATCATCTCGGATATCCGAGATGATTCATATTAATTTGCAAAAGAAACCAATTAACAAAATGGAAGACACCCAAAATCTCAATAATAGTTACATTTATTTCCTCAACGATAAGAAGTCTGTTTAGCCACCTGTTTCAGTGTGCACTGACATTTCTCTTACTTGTATATATATATATTTGTATTTTTGTTTACTGACGGTCCGTTGACCCCCTCATTATATAATTGTCAAGCCACGTGCTTTTACTCAGTGTTTAGATAGACTGTCTATCGTACAGACGTCTATTCCTCTCTTCAAATGAATTACTTGAAGAAAATTCTCTTTTTTATTGGTAAAAACCTTTTTACTGTACTTTTTTTTAAATTATATATGTAAAATTTTAATTATTTATTAATAAAAATCTTGTAGTTTCTGAAGAGGGCAGCAGTGCTGCTGAAACGTAAAAAGAAATAGTTTTGTTTTCTTTTGTTCGCCTTGACTCGGAGTGATCGTTATCTTCATGTTTTTTATTATCAAAAAAAGATATGACGCTCCACGAGAAAAGGGACCTATCGCGACAAAAAATTAATTTCCAGTTTTATATGCGAATCGATAGTATTTGAGTTGCTCTTTCATATAGAAATATCAAAAATAATATTTTTCTAATAACTTTTTTTGTAATAAAGCTTTAAACATGACCATGTCAATCGCGTTCCAGCACGGACTACGGAAACCATCCCCACCACCACTACTACTAGTATACTTGTTGTATCCTTGAGACGTAGGTACGATGTAGTAGTAAGGTAGTGGGGCTGATATTCGCTGGCGCGTCTCAGCCAATCAGAACGTTCGACTTTAAACGCCTTTCCTGTATAATTCTGTTTTGTCGCGATAGGTCTCTTTTCTCGTGGAGCGTCACAGATAAACATTGAAAAACATTAATAGACCCCCTCGTAACAAAAGGATATCCATATCAATGGTCGATATCCTAGAATGGTCCCCAGGATATCTTGGAATATCCATGGGATATCTCTAGGATATCCAAACCGACGGTCTGTGAAACATCAACAGGACATCCACAGGATATCCCTAAGACATCTACAAAATATCTATTGGATATTATATCGCAGGATATCCTAAGGATGTCCGTGGGAAATTCTTAAGATATTCACGGGATATATAATATCTCAACATATATTTTTAAAGGTTAAAATAAAGCGAAGAAAAAAAATTTTTAAAAAGTAAAATTCAACCAACAACTCTACCGAAAGAATGTTACTGAATTGGACTTGGCTTGAGTTCCACTTCAGTACGACTACCTGATAACCTATAAGAAGACATTTTTAAAGTACTTTAACAATAGTTTTAAAGGTATATAAGATCAACAAACCGTCTCTCACGATATACGTGTAAAACAGCAAAAAAAAACATAATAGTTTGTAGAAAATTTCTGTTAAGTTTGGAAACTATATTGCAATCCCTCCTTGAACAATAGACCCCTAGGTCCTTTGTTGAAGGATTAAAATTTTAACCCGAGTTTTATTGCTTAAAAAATTTGTAATTTTAATAACTCAACTTTAAAAAATATATATTCAGATTCGTTAATATTTCCAGATTATGAATATCTAAAATTTATCATAAAATAATTACATTTAAAAAAGTTATAATTTATCTCGTATACCTTAAGTTTGATAAAAAAATGGACATCATTTTTGAATTTAGCTGCCAAAGGAAATATCATATGCATAATAATGTATGAAAATAATATAAATCCATGAAAAACAAATATAATATTGAAATAAATATAAAGTTTTAGTTTAAACATATTGAAAAAGCTAGTCGCTTTTCACTTTTATGAGGGTATTAACGGTAACTCGACCCTTTTCGCAGGTAAATTTCCCAGTTCCATTTCAGTACCAAAATGCACCAAATTAGTACTGAGTTGGTACTGAGATCTCAGTTCCAATTTCCCAGTACCAATCCAGTACCACCCTTCCGGTAGGGAATCGTCAAAATAACCAACTTATTTTTTATTCAAAAAGAATTATTAAAAAAAATTTATAAAGAATAAAAAATATTAAGTGAAAAATAACAAAAAACCAAATTAAAAATTCGATGCGGCGAGTATCCCACGATGATATGTACGATGACCTCAGATGCGAGCAGGTAAGCATCCAGAAGTTGACAAGTTACAATCCCAAAATGATAATGGTACAGTAATCTCGATGACGTCAGTCGACAATGAGACAAAAATAAAAAAACATAGGGTTGATAAAAAATCCCTTAATCATGTTTTTCTTATATTGTCTGAAAAAAAGTAAAGGTACTGACCTTGTATAAGTGAACAATGTCCACCCACATGTAGAGAGACAGCGTTGGAAAAAAACTGGACTGCTCGGCAATACGTAGGTGTTACGGCAGTACGTAACATATAAAATTTAATTTTATATTCTATTTGAAATTAATTAAAATCATTTTGAAATAATCTCAATATACTGGACACCAATTTAAGAATGCGGAACTAAGCATTTTAATGTCGCGCGACTAATGAAGGGTTGTAATTTTCATAACCTTCATTGGTTGATTATTTTTCTACTTTAAACATAAATGGTATCTATCGCTTTTAATAATGTCACTGCAAGGGTCGCAACTATTGCAGCCCTATTAAAAATTTCTACGTCGTAAACTACGAAATAAATTACGTTGCAAACTACGTCGACGATTATGACGTTGGAAATTGGAATAGTAGGACCCGACGTTATATACGACGTCGTATGCGACGTAATTAACGACCACAGTAAAAAATCGTTTCAAAAATGTGAAAATTCTTGGGAAATACGTTATCTGACTTTCTATAAATCTGTAAATGATTGAAATAATCAAGAAATACAATATAACCAATTTATTTAATCACATTTTCTAATTATTTATTCTTTTTATAGTTTTCAATTTTTAAGTAAATATTTATTTGTACTGTTTAAATAAATAAATTCAATAAACTTAATATTTTTAATTGAGAAAAATTGGAAAAAAGCAAAAAATTGTGAAGATTAAACACTCTTTCTTAACACACAACATTTTACAAATCCAGTTAAAATTTTTAACAAAACTATCGGATTACAGCTAGCAATGTTTTAATGGTTTTTATGTTAATTTTGTTATATTTGTTATATATTATTATTTTTTTTTTTTTTTATTTCGAAGTTGTATTGTTGTTTAATCAAACTGATATCTGTTTTAGTCCGTATTAGCTGAAGTCTTATTCGCTTCAATTATGAATTAAAGTAGTGTTTGGTGCGAATTTAATAGAATGTAAAACTGATTTTTTTAAACTAAATTCTAATTAAATTCCTTTAAAATAAAGTGGTTTAATGACTGTTACTTCTCTAAGAAAGTCTCTTAAGTTTTACATATTTGTGACATAAAAATTTTTCTTTTCGTGAACAGATTTTAATTAAAAGAGCATATTTACCTAATCAATTGAGAGATCCCATGCAATAACGCACTATGCGCTATAACTTAACTTAAGCGCCTAATGCGATATTGCTTGGGGCCTCTTAATTATTAAGCCAATCTATTAATAATGGCATAAATTAGGAACTGCACAGAGATATTCATTATTTTTTATTTTTATGTGTACACATACACTTACGATATTGTCGGTTGGTACAGCTGTTTCTTTCTCACAAATTTTATTAATTTTTCGCAACATACTATAAAAATCACCATATGCGTTAGACGTTTGAATTACTTGAACTATCGCATATTCTGAATTAATATTTGTATCAACTACAAATGAATTTAGTTTCACATATGTACCGTCCTGCAATTTAGCGAAAGAATTGTTTGAGCGCTGATTAACTTTTACTGAAGACATGTTTAACAATTTTTTTATACATGCTAGCACATTCAGTTAAGTTTAATTTTTGTAACCATAATTTACTTAGTTTTTATGACGAACCAAAATAGCGAACATTTTCTGTCTGGGCAGTCTTTTTAGCTACTTTTGTGCCAATAGTGTTACAAAAATTTCTTACAGGAAATGAAGAATCAGGATAGATATGCTCTTTTAAGGTAAGGAAAGTGTACTTTAAGCTAATACGTCGACAGATTTGGCTGTGAATTCCTTTAGCTGCATGAATAATTTTTAATAAATCCCCATTTCCTGACTGGAATGCATATGCGTTATGACACCAAAGTGGTCCCCAGTCTAAAACAGTTCTTGCTAGATGTAAGAGCAAGTGGACGTTAAATGTCATCGATGCTTTCGTGTACAGAGATTCCACACGACCAACAAATTCGTGAAGTAAATTGTCAGCATAGTCAATTTTTTTGATCGTAATTTCCTGTTGTGATAATATGTAAATAGCTTCAACAAAGAGAGCCCAATGCATCAACAGATTATCTGGCACTATGTCTTTAAGGACAATCAAGCTGTAATAAAGGGTCCAATTTTCCCACTCACGGGCCTTCCAATATGCTCGTTCAGAGAATGCTCTTATGAGTCGGGAAAGTTGATTTGGCACCTTAATAGTAGCCATAATTTCATCGATGTCAGGAATATAATTTCTGGATAATAAGCCAACCTTTTTTA